TGAGGGGGCCCAGGCAGCAGGGCCGACAGGGAGGTCGTCCCCGCCCTTAACCGGCCGGGAAGGGGCGCTGTGCGCGGGGCCCTGGGGCTCAGCACGGTACTTGCCCTCCGGGTTCACAGGTGAGGCAGTGGAGGCCGGGTGGCCCACGTGTGACCCCAAAGCCCCTATGGGACCAGGCTGCCTCCCTGCCTTTGAGAGGACAAATGGGTGGGGAAGGAGGGTGTTAAGGGACCAAAGATCCTCTCAGGAGAAAGCTTGAGAACTTTGGGCCGGCAGCAGAGTTTCTGGGCAGTGGGGACAGGGGGCCCATGGGGCAGGGCACTTCGTCCCCAGCAGAGCCCAGGGTCCTCCATCTGAACTGCTGGGCTCTGTAGGCCTGGGGGGGAAGTGACACTTAAGAGGGATTCCCTCCCCACACGGTGCAGACACCAGTCAGTCTTCACCCTGGAGAAGGCACAGGAAGGTGAGGCAGTGCCTTCTTCAGGAGCCACTTCTTCGGGTTCCTGCCCACCCGGAGCCGTCAGGAGTTCCTGCTACAGGAGGTAGAGAGGCCCACCCCACACCCTGGGGGCAGCCCATCCTGCTTCTTCCCTCCTTCCTTCATCCCTTAACCTGGGCAGAGTGCAGCAGCCCACAAAGCATGGGCTCTGGCACCCACGTGTGCCTATGCACGCCCCCCAGTTTCTGAAGCTCAAAGCTCAAGGGGCCGCCATAGACTAGGAAACTGTGATGCTAGCACATTGCAGCCTCCAGACCACAGGGCCAGAGGGGTGGGCAGAGGTGTCTGTGGTCAGTGTAAGGGAAGCTCCAGGAAAGGGTAGCCTCCCCACCTCCGAAACAAGCTGGGGCTCTATCAGCACATCAGTCTCTGGGCAGCCTTTTCTGCAGAAGCCTTTCTCTGCTCATGGGTTGGGGGTTAGCAGGATTTAGGGGCCCCAGAGAACAAGAGAGATAGGCTGAAAGGCCTGCATGATAACCCCAACCCCATCCCCCACCTTGGCCCCAGCCAGCCCACACCGATTTTGCCCCCCTTTCAAGGATCCTCGTGTGAGGAACCCCACAGCAACACGCCAGCCTGGGACCATCCAACCCTCCCAGACAGGAAGCCCCAGACACCCAGTCAAGTTCAAGATCAGGACGGTAGGCAGGCTCCAGACCTCCCCACCCTAGTCATGAGTTGGGTCAGGGCCCCCCTGCACCTGATCTCTGTTGTGATCCAGGGATGCTCAGCCCCAAAGCAGTCCCAAGAATGGGCTTAGTGGGCATTGCAGCACACCATCTCATTGACCCAGCTGCTCTGTGGCTAGGAGTTATTGTATCCCTGCTTCAGAGAAAAACAAGGTTCAGCTTAAGCTTAGGTGGGCCCAGGCAATTAAGTGCTCCTGGGGGTTGAAGCCCCTGGACAACACAGTAACCGATTGTGCTCCCCAAGAAACATCCAGGGAAGCTGTGGTTTGGTTCATACAGCCCTGGCCAGCCCACCTGCAGGTCCCTAGGGCACCTCTCTTCCTTGTGAGCTCCACCCCTGCGCGCTTTCCCTGTGCACAGACAAGCCAGACCTACACTCTGCTTCCAGGATCACTGGCTCCTGGAGCAGAGGATGCTCTGTGAAGGCACACAGGTACTTCCAGGGCTCTCCTGCCAACAGTGTCTACCTGGGACAAATCATGAGTAAACAGCCAAACCCAAATTCCAGGGTAGTCTTAAATAACTAGGCTTTCAAAAATGTCAAGGTCATGAGAGACGAAGAAAGGTTAAGGAATTGTTCCAGATTGGGGACCAAGGAGCTGTGACAACAAAATGCAACATTGGATTCTGGATGGAACATTATGGGCCCCACTGGTGAACTGTGAATAAAGCTGTAGTTTAGGTAACAGTACCACATCAGTTTTCACTTCCTGATTGGATGACTGATTCTGCTTATGTAAAAGAATATTCTTGTTCTTAGGAAGTATTTAGGGGCAAAGGAGCATGATGTCTGCAACTTACTATCCAGTGGTTCAGCAACCAGATAGGTGAGTGAGGAGACAGGAAGACTGCAAATATGGCAAAATGCTGGTAGTCCGTGAAGCCAGGTGAAGAGTCTACTGGAGTTCATTGAATTATTCTTGTATCTTTTCTGTAAACTTAAAGTCTTTTCATGATAAAATTTTATAAGTTCCCCTGCTCCCCAGCCCTGCCCCTGGCAGCCTCTCCCAGGCCTCAGCTGGACCAGTTCTGAAGCTCAGCTTGCAGACAGGGACCACTGTCACATTCCCGGGGCTTGTCCGTGACGGTGCACCTGTTCAGAAATATCCCTGACAAGGAGGCCTCCTGGGGCAGAAGGCCCCTGCACTGGGGTGAGAGAGGGGTTCCCGCTCACAGGGCCCAGGCTGAACTGCATTGCTGGTGTCTGGGGCCCACCCTAGGGCACCACCAACTTCAAAGACTTTCTGGTGAGGAAGGGGGAAGTGACTCTGTCAGGCCTCCCTTGTCGCTGCCTGGGAGGGATGGGGTCTGTAGCCTTGTAGCTGCCATGGAAGTCTCCAGGCCCTAGGCATGCTTGCCTCAGGGGCTGGGCAAAGAAAAGGCCTGGGTTTACCCACCACTTGGCAGGCCCTGAGGTCTAGGGCTTACAGACTGCCTGTCTCCCAGATAAA